GGGTCAAGCCGAAGCTCCGCCCCGCGCGCCTGGACACCGCTCCCGCCCGGGGGTGACCTGGGAGCGTGGGGTGGCGGCGGGGAAGGAGCAAAACCCCAGGTGCAGGGGGAGGATGAAGCAGCTTTCTGGAGCGCAGCGCACATTGCGCAGTGCCGGGCGCTGCCAACACCGACCTGCCCCAGGGCAAGTAAACGGTTACTGGCGTTCGGTACTGCCTGCAACAACAGAGCCGGAATATCAGGGACGGCATTGACCAAGGAGAGGGCAGATACGGAGAAAATGCTGTTTTACTTAAAAAGAAATTTCTCCATGACATAGAAAAAATGGAGAAATCAACTAAATTCACGGCGAAGGGCATTGAGGTTAAGCGCCGTGTCAAAGGCGTTCAGTGTTGGCAGTGAAATACTCGAATCGCTGCTCTGGGATCATGTCGACTGTCACAGTCAAGGGCATCTCTGGGTCAAACCTGTACAGCTGTCCTTGTCCTACCTACATTGTTAGGCAGTAGCCCTGTTTCTCCTCCTTACTCTATACAGAGCTTCTTTGTTCCCTCAATGATCATCTAATGCCATATTCTGCCAACTGCCATGATGCAAATTTTTCAGCCTTTGTCCTTGACTGATCTTGATGTACGAAGAGAGGGCAGACGTGTTCAAAAGGCAGTGCTCACACCCAAGACTGACATGGGCTGTGTAGTCTCATGACTGTGGGCAACTTTCAGGCATGGCCAGCTCCCAAAATGCTCACAGGAAATGCATATTTTAGCATTTGTACAGATCCTATTCTTATATTTGCTTATTTTATAAATTTAGCAGTGAAAGTGACGGCAGAGCAAGAATACACTTCTGGAGTATTTACTAACTAATGTCTAATTTTGCAATACAGCTTCCAGAATAGCAAAGACAGATTTGAAAAAATGACTGATAAACCATGAAATAGAAATGCCACTTAAAACAACTTCAAGACTGGCAGAATGAAATATTAATGGCAAAGAAAGTAGTCTCAGGTTTCCTCTAGACTTTATAATTTATTTTTAATTATGCACATGAAATGTATGAACATACAAGTAATTAGGTAACTTTTTCACACTTCTTCTGTGCTCATTTATTTGTAGGACAACAATCACATACACTTCGCTCTGTAGTGCACATCTCTTTGTGACCGTGTCATCAGCCTAAGAAGAGAAAAAATTATTAGCAATAAAAAAAATAGATGTGATAAAAGTGGTCAGAAATATAACATCCTGCATTTTTATCTGGAGAGAAAGGTTTACAGGGAAAAATAACCACAGCACCACAAGGTTTTCTATAGTATAAGGAATTTTTTCATGTGGCATATTAATTGCTCTGAGGCCATAATCCCCAAAGACTTCTTAGCTGTCAGAAACATAAATTATGTTTTTTATACTTTAAAGGGACAACAAACACATACACTTTGCCCTATAGTGCACATCTACAGGTATTGACTTTGCATCATTTTATGTACAGCATGGAAGTGAAACTGAGAAAAAATATACCCCACTGTATACATGTTAAAATAAAAAGCAAGATGAAAAGATAAGCTATCATTAGTCACTTTTGTTTCCTTGTCACTGAGCCATTTTTAAGGTATTCAGTTTACAACCATTATTTATTTTAGACACTGTAAGAGATGTATTATTTTCTAAGAATTTGCATGTTAAAGATAGAAAGCTGAGAGGGAATATTCATACAAGAGAATATATAAAAATACAGATCAGCCACCTTATAATTTTAAAGCTGGGAGTGAGTTAAAAGAATAGCAAAAGCCAAAATGCAAAGTACTGAGGAAAAAAGAAGGACATAAATCAGTTCAGTTCATAAATCTTGACTCCTAAAAGACATCAAAGATCTTCAGAACTTGTGTTCAGCTAAGTCAAAAGCATTCGTATGTGCATACTTACTATGAACATCCTGCACACTTATGTCCTCTCTTGTTTCTTCTTTTGTATTCCATTACATCTTCATTATGCTGCTTGATAAGCTATAAAATAGAAGTATATTATAAACACCTATACAATTCACAGCTGAATCCAGACAACAAAAAGAGTTCTACAGAATATAAAATACCTGTTATCAAAATGCAAACCACTATGTAACTGGGACCATCCAGAACACAACATATGTTAATTATCAACTGAAAAAGGTGTGGAAACAATGCTTCATAGGACAAACATTTTCTCCTGACCAGATGGGGAGGGCTTCCACTGCTGATTAATTCACCAGCGCCAAAAAAGGGGAAAACCCCAAAGGGAATCCATCCCACCTGAAAACATGTCACCATGGGAGTGCTGCTTATCCTGCATGATTCGTCCTGAGAGCTACTACATCCTGCTTGCTTTAATACCATAAAGTCTGTGAGTTCTCTGAAACAGAGAACATCTTCCATCTGCACTCTGCTCAGGAAAAAGGAATCCTAATCTACTGAAATCAGCCACCTTAACCAGCTGAAAAGTGAGAAGAGAATTGGTAGTCTGATAAACACAACATTATCTGGGTACATCCCTAGGTTTTCTTTCTTTTTGGAAAGACCATGGGGAGAATAATGCCAAAGCATTAATCCAACAGGCTTGAAGAATTAATTCTGTTGTGGCTGTTTTAAGAAGCTGAAAAAGTTGTTCATTTCTTAAAATAAGAGCACAACATAAAAACGTAAGTATGTGAAAACATTAATAATGAATCATGCTTCAATCTTGACACCTACTATGATCACCCATTACTCCAATAAACTCAGTAGGTTGAAGTCACTGCATTCATATCACTATTATGATTTTTAAGGAATAGTTAAGTTCAACAAAACCAAATAAAAACACTTACAAAAGCCCACAAGGCAGCACTGGTGCTAAATGCCAAGCCAACTCTCAGCCAGTTTGGCTGGGCATTATTCATTTTTTTCACAACAAATGCAGAACGAGTAAAAGCTGAAAAGGCACAAGATTACAAATGCATTAACATTCCTCAGGGTTCGACTACAAAGTACTTAGTGACATTCATACAATCAGGGAAAAAATACAAACCACGACGCAAACCCCAAATGAATGCAATGATGAAGTAGTCTCTATAACATTGTTATAGACAATCCATTCATAGCATCCCCACAGCATACGCTCCCTGACCCGAGAGGGGAGGGGGACTGCCAACAACTAAAAAGCAGTATTCCCCAGCCACAAAAACTATTTCCCTCAGCATCTTGTGCTCTAAAAGGACACCTCTCGCTGTCTCCTGCCTAAAGCCCCCCACCCCCGGGCCCTCCTC